CTCGGACCGCATGAGGTCCCGCAGCGAGAAGGACTACCGGCTGCACAAACACTTCCCACCAGCTTTTATTTCCCAGGCGTCACGGGGCTACATGACATCAGGTTTGTAACATAATTTGCGGGTGCGAGGGAGCTTTATTGCGAGGCTGGCGCGGGATGCGTGCGTGGCTCCGGGAAGGCTGTGTCGGTGGGTACGGACGGCGGGGAGCCTGCGGCCGGGAGTGCAAGTTGTTATGAATAATGCAGGGGAAAAAAAAATAGCATACATCCACCATTTTGTACCTCTGCAAGATTCACAGCAGGGCCCTCGCAATATGGTGTTTAAAATCTAGTAGTTGAGTGAAATAAATGCACGAGGGAAACGGTCGTGTCTGTCACGGAAGGGCAGATAAAAATGACTGGGTGCGCAGAGCATGGAGCCCTTTGCTCCTTTTGTGCATAAAAGCATGTGCTGGATATTTAGTGCTGCCCCACGCATTGCCCTTGTAATGCTGTTAACTCATCGAGCTTTCATGTTTTTCCGTTTTGGAAAGGAGAAGGATCACCTGTGATTACAAACGCTCTCGCCTGGTGACAGGCTCTCTGGATTTCAGCTGCATGTTTCTGCAATGGCAAAGCACGCTTTGGTGAAAATGACTGTAAACACGTTTGCATTCGTTATTTGAGGTGTAGAAGGAGACCAGACCTGTGTATGTGGGTGAACACACATGTGCACATGTATATTCGTCTGTCGATTGCTTTCACGGGAGGTTGTAAAACGCTCTCGCCTGGTGACAGGCTCTCTGGATTTCAGCTGCATGTTTCTGCAATGGCAAAGCACGCTTTGGTGAAAATGACTGTAAACACGTTTGCATTCGTTATTTGAGGTGTAGAAGGAGACCAGACCTGTGTATGTGGGTGAACACACATGTGCACATGTATATTCGTCTGTCGATTGCTTTCACGGGAGGTTGTAGAGTGCAAACAAAACAAAAAACAGTGCAGGGAAAGGCAGGCATCGGGGAGAGGCTTGGCCTCCGATGGAGTGCTGGTACGATTTCGGAACGCCTCACTACTGTTAATGGAAGCTGCTCCATGCTGAAATGCATCTTAATGGCCTTGAAATTCAGATATTTCATAAACACCTGAAAGAAGACTTGGAAAAATGCTGATGGGGAGGAGGCTGGGGGCAGAAAATCCTGGAAACCTCCTTTGTTGTCCTGCTGCCCGCTTATTGTGATGATTGGACATAACGTTTCATTACTATGATGGCAAATTCCAATTTATCATGAAGGCACGTTTTCCCTCCAAGGCTTGATTTAGGTTGAGTAGGCAGATTCCTTTAAAGGAGAAAAAAAGGGAGAGGGAGAAAATGAAGGTATTTATTATGCATTACTGGAAACGTTTCCAGCCCTGTGCCACGTCCCCCCCCACTTCTGCTGCAAAGGTTGAGCCAAAGATTGTGGTTGTCAGTTATATGCTCACTTTCCTATCTCTGGCCCTAATAAACATCTCTCTTCGGTCTGGATTGTTTTCTCATGTTTTAAATATGTCTCGTGACTGTTCTTTCTCTAACGCTCAAGCACAAGGGAAATAATATGCATCTTATTGAAAAATCTGCCTGTGTAAGAACATTGTGCTATTTTGGCAATAGCCACTGATTTTTCCCTTCCCTGGGAAGCCACGTATTCAGAGGAAATGACAAGGATAATTTATGCTTGAACAGCTGAAGAAGAGGAGAATGGTGGTGGTGGTGGAGGGGTTGTTTTGTTTGGTTGGTGCTGTAGGACCTGAAAGCGGCTGAAAAGCCAAATCTGTCCGTGGTATGAAGATTTTTGTGGTTCTGTGTGAACATCCTGATATTCCCACTGTCAGATGCACTGTGTCAGTTCTGTTGAAGTCGATACTTTTAAGGCCTTTCTTTTAGCGTGGAAGCCCGTATTTAAAAGAGAAGGAGCTCACGTGAATGTTTTGTGCCAAGCAGTGTGGGTTTTTTGCTTGTTTTTAATTCTGCAGGGAAGCAGTCTGGCTTGGTAAAAGCTTTATCTTGGCAAGATTGGTACAATCCAACCAGGCGCTCAGAGACCAGCGATCCGCAGAATCAAATGTGTCACCCTGTGTTTTTTTTGGCAGATACCTGTGCCATTGGCAGGGGGAGCATAGAGTTGTAATCTGCTATAAACATTCCGTGTTTATGAATATACAGCACGTTGATTTCAGCTGCAATAATTGAAGAAGAAGAGCCAATGTCATGTTTAGTTTGAGTAATTCGCGAAAGTTTTTGGAAGGAGACTATGTTGAAAATTGAATGAATGTTTGGTGTGGTGGGTTTTTTTTGTTTTGGTTTAAATAAACGACAACTTACAGGCTTTTAGCTGGAAATGTGATTGTTCTCTCTTGATGGATATTATCCACATTCATTTATTTTTAAAGGATCCTTATCCGTTGCCTTTCCAAATATTAGTTTTGGGAGGAATGGCTACTGTATTAAACACTTCCCACTGTTTGAAAGAAACTCTCTTCCTCTCAGGAAATCTATAGGAAATCTTCTGTCGTAAAAGTTGTGGGGATCGGGAATACAAATACATTCTTTGTCACTCCAAATGTTGTAGGGGAGAAAGTGTCCTGAAACACATGGGCTTTTCAGAGGGCTGCATTCTGTTTATCCAACCATTTAACCTCATCACCATTAGCATTGTTGTGGTTCTCTTTTAATTAAATGCCGCATTGTTTGGGGTGGGGGTGGAGGGTGGGAAAGAAACCTTGGGGTTTTGCCTCAGTTACTCTGCTTGGGGAAATATGAAAAAGCAGACAGTCAAACGGCCTTCAGTAAGATGCTAAAAAGCTTGAAACGTTAATATTTGAGCATGCCTGAGCGGGACATGGAGAATCATATATACGTATGTTTCTTTCAGCACACAGAAATACTGAGGAATGGTGTGGCAGTCAATGCCATGGTGGGAAAATACAGTCTCTAAGCAGAACCCTGTTTATCATAGAATCATAGAATAGTTAGGGTTGGAAGGGACCTCAAAGATCATCTAGTTCCAACCCCCCCGCCATGGGCAGGGAAACAATTTGGGCAGGAGAGAGTGCAGACCTCATGCTGGAGTGGTGAAACACTCCCGATTTTAAGCAGCCTTTTCAGTAAAACTGAGTAAGGACCAGTTTGCTTGCTTGATTAGAAGCAGCATTGGTGGCTGGAAGTCGTGTTTTCAATACTTGGAGAAGTAATTGTAGAAAATTGATGCAGATGCAATTCATCTGAAATTTAAAGATCGTTTGACAGATGAAGGGAGATGGAAGTAAGGAGGGAAAAAAAGCAGGGCATTTAGAAAATCACACGTTTTTGCTGCGGAATAATCTCTTCATACATGCTATTAAATCGCCTGTACTCCAGGGTTTCTTTAGGCCTCCTAGCAACCACTGGGTTCAAAGGCCATGCAAGGAGCTCATTGTTCATGCGGAATATTAATTTCCCAGTGGAGGACTGACTTGGAGAAAAAACACCGAAAAAGAAAACTACAACAATGTAGAGCTTTGACCTTGCATGAAAAGAGATGTTGAAAAGTTTGAATCCAGTAAAATTCATACACGTTACTGAAAAGGGGGAAATATACTTGAAGTTTTTTGATAGATTGCTGCTTAATTGAAGGGAAAATAAAGAAATCGTATGAAACTGCCAAGCAGGATAAAACTTACTGAAACTTAAGAGAGCTCCAAAAAGTCACATAAAATAACATGTATAGCTTTTGAAATGTTGGAATTTTCTTGCTTTTTTTCTTTTTTCCCCTTCTAACTAACAAAGGTAAACGCTGGATTTTGGTTTAACAGAGAGAGGAACTGCACCCTGTGGTTGACCCAGCCGTTAAGTGTTACCAGAACTGAGTAGCACTCTGGAAAGAAATAATTTTTCCTGCAGCCTTCCTTGAGGTATTTTAATTGAAGATCTTGGTGTCGGAGGTAATGTGCCAGTTTGAGTTGGGGGTGGTGTAGGGTAGGAGTCTAGCACACGCAGTATGAAGGAATGCCTGAAGAGCTTTCTACAACAGTAGAAACTAGTTCCAGAGCATGCTTATTTGAAGGTTACCTTCTGAAAGTTTGCAATTACTTTATAGCTCTTTGCTATAAAATTTCCTTGCAGCGGTTTCAATGCTCTGAAGTTGAAGGGTAAAATTCGGTCTTGGTGTTGCCCTACTGTTACTGGAGTTTCATTACTAAGTTGCAGCAGAAGGGAAAGGAGAGAAGTGTGTAACACTGCTGTCCAACTGATGATATCTGTGTGCAAATTAAAATTTGTAGGAGGAAAAGATATCCTTGTTCTCTGTTTCAAGGATGTTTGCTAGAAGGTTTGGGACTGCTTCTTCAGCTTTCTTGAACACTAAGAAGGATTTTGGGAGTCATTAGAGCAAACTTGAGAGTCCTGAGGTTTTTTTTTTATTTTTTTTTAAGCTTGAACCTCCACCTCTAATAAAAAATATTTGGAAATAACTATGCATGACTTGAAGAACTCAGTTTAATGTAATTGAGAAATGACAAATACATGCAAAGCCTTGAAGCTTGTTCAGTTCTACTGTCTCTTAATTCAGTTATCTAAAGGAATACATTCTAGCTTGAAAGTAGCTGTATTGTAATTAATATTTAATGGAATAATCGGTGTTGCATCACCTTCTTTATCTCTCGGCATGGTGTTAAGAAACACCTTCCAATTCATCTGCTTAATAGTAATGTGATCTCTTTACCTCTCTGAATTCTGAATAGTTTTAGGCTGCCTTATACCAGACCCGTTAACAGGACAGCAAAAACCGAGAGCGTGCAGGTGTCAGTGGTGAGCAGGGCTAGCTTTGCCTCTTGGCTCCTGCTCCATCTCCTTTGCTTCAGCCTGTGCTGACCTGGTGCACCCCAAGTGGGTCACTCCCTTTGGTTATTTCAGGGGCTGTGCTTGCTCTATTGCTTGGGCAGTTGCTCCTGGGCTCGCTGTGCCTTCCAGTCTGTTTTGGCCTGTGGGGCATCCACTTAACCTTGACAGAGAAATAGGAACTTTTACTGCATCCTGATCTGGGGAGAGGGTCTAAGTGTGCTCTGTCTTCAGACCACAGACTTGGTCCAAGTTCATGGACGAG